TTTTAAATTTTATTCATAATGTAAAGCAAATTCACATGGAAAGACAACCATAAAAGATTGAAAGAAAAAAAAATGCATGATTTTTATATATTTCACAAATTTAGGCATAATAAAAATACAGACATGACAGTTCACATAATATATATATTTTTCTTTTATTCTCTTAAATAAACTACTACAAAGTTACAAATAAAAAAACTACCTCAACTCCGAAAACACACTTAGCCAAAATTATAGAAAGATGCCACCAACATCCTTCTCTAAACTAAATAAACCAAAATTTTCAACTAAACTCAATCAGTCTCACCAAGAATCAAGATCGAATATTCCCTCTCTTCCTGCTTCATCCTCTCATAAATCTCCGACCCAAAACCACCACCAACATTTGTGCGCAACAAGAACTCCAATGGAGTCTTGCGTAGATCCCATGAAAATTCGATCAACCTCCCTTCAAAATACATCGCAACATTCCCCGCAAGTTTTCGGCCTATTATCTCCATCTCGTAAACTATGTCTTCATCAATAACCAATTCCATCGTTCCAACACCTTGTTCATATCTCTTGAACCTTATCATAACATTATGTTGGACGTCATTGGATGAGAAACGAGCGCTGGGGACGGTGAAAACACCGCCATTATTTCTTGCACGAAACACTTGATTTGAATTTCGAGAAGAAATGTGTTGAGGTACCGGAGCCTCCAGGGGACGTTGATTGTGTCTACGAGGATTCTCGACGTTGGAATTGTCGAAGGGGATGCCATCCTCCACTCCACTTCTGCAGCAATCATTGATAAAGCTCCACATTGTGATTTGAGGAGAGAGAGAGAGAGAGACAGACGAGCAAATGTTTTGTGTTTGTTTATTCATGTACGAGTTGTAGAAAAAAAAACATTGATATTAATTTATATTGTGTTTGCAGTGCTCTAATCTACGTGAGAATTTAGGAATTTTGGAGATGCATGCATGAGATAATTTACGGTAGATAATAAAAATAAATTATTATGGCTCCAAAAAAAATAATATTTTGTTCATTATAACGGATTTGGGTGGGTAGGCTTTGAGAGTTGTACGTTTAATAATGTAATACATTGAATGGAAACTGATAAATAAATTTATGAGGGATCGAATCCGGAAGTTTTGAAATTTTTTTTTTCTGGATTAAGAAATAGCATTGATTTTTGGTTTGCTTTTGTCATGCTCATTTTAGTGGCAAAATTTTTCATGGTTGCATCGAATTTTAAGGATTCATGCTACAAAATCATATTAGAAATAGTATGTGCGTGTATATATATATATATATATATATATTATCTTGTCACACAACACAGAAAGGGCATTATATATACCTTGTAATGCTGAGTTAACAGTCAACCCTCACCTTTGTAAAATTCTATCAGAAGAGGAAATAAGGACAACTCTTAAATCTATTGATGAAAATAAGGTGGCAAATCTCGATAGTTTCACATCACAATTTATATGCTCTCATGAGAGATTATCAAACATGGCCTAATTACAGCTATCTAGAGCATTTTATTGAGTGTGCTTCCTCCTAAGTGCTTTAGATGCTCTTCAATTGCTCTTATTCTCAAGGATAAATTTAAATATAAATGGGAGAATTTCAGGCCTACTAATCTCACCACTGCAGTTTCCAAAATCATTAGGAAATCCTTCTGAGAAAACTGCAACCAATCATAAATGATTTGGTCAGCCCTCAATAGATAGCTTTTATTGCTCGTAGAAAAAATATAAAAAATGTGTTCATGGTTCAAGAGTTAGTTTAAAATTTGCATAACCATTATAGAGTTGGTAGTGGGATTCTCAAGCTTGATTTAAGGAAGGCTTATAATAGCAACAATTGGCATTTTATCTTGACATTGTTCAAAGATAGAGGCTTCATAGATGAATTATGCAATCTGGTTATAATGTTTTTGGACAATAACTTCTATTCCATTCTCATTAAGGGTGGGAAACAAGGGTATTTCCAGGCTGGGAGAGGTTTGAACCAAGGCGACCAACTTTCTCCAATTATATTTACTATTTCCATGGATTACTTGTCTAGGCAATTGAATTAGCATTTCAATTGGCTTCCTGATGGGAGATATAAAGTCAAAGGTAATGAGCTTGGTACCATCTTGCATATGCTGATGGTTAGATCATTTTCTGTAATATGGGAAAGACCAATATAAATCAGATTCGCAAAATCCTGCATCATTCTGAAAATGTCGATGGTATGGAATTTAATAAAGCCAAGTGAACTTTTTCTGTGCAAATGGATCAATGTGGATAAGCAACACTAGATCTCACAACTTATTGGTTTTAAAATTAGTAAAATTAGCAAATTTCCTCTCACATACCTTGCTATCCAATTGAATATTGCTCGGAAATGGTGTCTTCTTTTTAATAAAGTGCTTTAAAAAATTAATAATAGAATTTTAAGTTGGAAAAACTCCTTGTCCTTTTATTGTATGAGAGTTAGGTGAAGGAAAATTCAGCTTATGGATGGATGATTGGTCCTTCATGGGGGCCTTAAAGCTTTTCTCACAAGGAGAGGTTAATGATAATCTACTAGTTTCAGACTTCTGGGAAGACACTAATTAGGATAGAATTAAAATACTGAAAATTTAAAACCTTCTCAAACAAAAATAAACGGTCATCTTCTTTGGCAGAATATTGTAAAACCTTCTCAATCATTCTTTGCTTTGAGAAAGGACTTTAAGTTACACTACAAGTGTTATTTTGACCCCCAATTATTAAACTAAGGTAAAATGACACTTTTGTAATGTGATACCGCTCACCTACCACATCTCACCTACCGCTCACCTACCG